GTGTGGTGTGGTGTGGTGTGGTGTGGTGGATGTGGACGTGGACGTGGACGTGGACGTGGATGTGGATGTGTACGTTGACGTGGATGATGATGTGGATGATGATGTGGATGATGATGTGGATGTGGATGAGGATGTGGATGTGGATGTAGATGTGGTTGATGATGTGGATGATGATGAGGACGTGGATGATGATGTTGATGTGGACGTGGATGATGATGTTGATGTGGATGTGGACGTGGACGTGGATGATGATGTGGATGAGGATGTGTGTGTGTATGCGGATGTGGATGTGGATGATGATGCGAATGTGGATGATGATGATGATGCGAATGTGAATGATGATGTGAATGTGAATGAGGACGTGAATGATGATATGGATGTAGATTATGGGTGTGGATGTGGATGTGATGAGCATGTGTCTGTTAGGTTATCTCACTCGTTCATAGCATGGATTGTGTATAACGATTTACAATGATTGTATCTCTTATATTCCGACTTATACGATAAGAAGTATAACTTAAAAGTATATATTGATTTCATATTCACTATATCCTTTTACATCATCTTGGCATGGCTGGCATATCCTGGTGGAGTAAGATACGACTGTCCTTTGTGTACTTTGTGTGACACCATGATACTCAGCAACATAACTCATTCGTTGTTTCAAGACCTATAACATTCTGACAGTTACACAACTCTCCCACTGACCTTGGTATTATGTATCATAAACAATAACGTCGACAATGCTGTCATGTCTCGCTGTTTCATCCACAAGGATACAACCATATACATCGACTCCCGTGGCCAGACAATATATTTTCCCAAATAACTGTAATTCAAACGACAAATGTGGCATATGTGGCCTGACTAGAGAAAAAAGAACATCGATTTATTTTGTTTTCCCCCCTTCTTGGTGTTTTTCCTTGATGTTTTGCCGTTAAAGAAAACTGTATGTTTCACGGTAATTGGTACAAGCCTGTTCATATGAGAACCAGATACAATGTTATTGAAGTACATTGAAGTGTATTGTGTAACATGACAGTAGACAAAGTAGACAGTAGACATGATAACGTCTACTTTGAAAAACATACAAAAAGTTAACCAGTTTGCAGTCCGAATATAAAAAATATGTTTATTTTCCACACATCTTTTTATGCAACGCCATTTATTATCAGTCGAGACGTGTCTGTTCCTCGAAACCCCCGTCTGTCCTGCCACTGTGATCTGTCTATTACCAGGAAGTGATCCTTGAAGTCTGGTCCAGACTGTGTGAAGCTTCTGCATTAACTGCTGCCCAACCAACGACAGGATGGACCAAACTTATTTGTGTCTTGATTTTCTCCAAACTCCTCTTTATCTACATCTAATTCCCATCGCTAATAAATCGTGCGACAGATGCTTTGGTAGTTTACTAATAGAACTTAAATTTGGATTTCTATTTTAAGCTGTGCTGACAGCTAATCTGAAGCAGAGTAATCAACACATGATGTAATGCGATATTACGCCCGTATCATCTAGGGTGCCGATTAAAAGCTTGTAAAACTCAATAGTGCCTCTTGAAGCCGTCTGTTGTCTTGATGGGAACTACCGGTGACAGAATTTCAAACAGTCTAGGATGAGGTATAAAATATCAGATGCTGACATGTGCTTAAGGAGCCGTGGCTATTTTGGATAGGCTCTCAAGCAGTCTGAGCTCAACAATAAATTACGAAATGTGATCGTTTTCGCGAGGGTGAACGAATGCTGTTTATCGACGCATTTCTCAATGTATCTCCGCGACCTGAAAATTGCATAGCCTGGACACAGCAATGAGTATATGCATCAGCAACGATCAATGATCCAAAGGGCACATCTTCATCCTCTGATACTGACCCCCCATCCCCGTTGGGCTATTCGTTAAAGCAGCTAGAGATGCTGAAGTCTATCATTTTCCCTAGATTATCTATAGAGGCCTTGTAGCACTTGGAAGAGGTCACAAATGTAATATATAGTGTTTCCAAAATATAATACAGTTTATGCTCTGCTGAATGTTGCATATGAAACAACTGGAATCATTATAATCGTGTCTTTGTTTAAGTTTTTCTTAAATATCCCGTGTTGTACAGACCTGAATCTTTAAACATCAAATAGGTTTGAAGAACAAACTCTAATAGTTTACCTATTACATACAATCTTGAAATGTGTTTTCGAAAGACAACTTCTTTGAGAGGCATTTAGAAGTTGGAGCAGTAAGGAAGGATAACAATATGTTGATGAACAATTTCTATATTGCATCACTTGCTTCATAGCGGTGTTAGAACGTACACCGAAACATCGCTTTCACTGCAATAAACAAGTTGTTCATCCATGTATTGTTATTCTTCCTTTACGAAAGACATCACATACCTGTTGATAAATTAGCCAACAGCTATACAACCGTTTTGCTAGTAATAGTGTAACTTAAAGTACTTGAAAAAAAAATCTAAATGACAATTTGATGCTACGGAATGATTTGCTGGTAGTATAGTTAATAAACATACAGGATCAAAAGACTTTTAAGACTCACTGAAGCTTCTGGCCTGAAGGCTGGCGATTTAATCCTATACTCACGTTGCTTTGACTATTTGCCATATTAATCGAGGCGATAGTGTCACATGTACTTTGAATGTCAATTAATGCCTTCTCCCTGTATGTCACTTCTGCATGTATAACTGGAAAAATCATTAAAAGAGAACAGGAACCGTAAATCGTTAATGCGGTAATGGTGTTACAACTGGTATATGTCATTGAGTGGGCGAGTGAGTGATTTTTTTTTCCATTTTTAGAAAATAAGTTTCACGCAGTGTTCACCTTTGTGGAATTGGCGTGACGAGCTAGCGCATGAACCACTAAGATGCTACGGCCGTTCTCCATGGTAATATGGACATCGGTGCAACGTACCACCACCAACCCACACGACATAATGGACACTAGTTTTTAAACAATGTATCCACTAAGACGAACCACTAAGATGCCTCTAAGATGCTACGTCCATTCTTCATGACAACATGGACATCAGTGCAACATACCGCATCCAACTCACCCGACATACTGGACACTAGTTTTTAAACAATGTACCACTAAGATGAACCACTAAGATGATAGGGGCGGTGGGGTAGCCTAGTGGTTAAAGCGTTCGCTCGTCACGCAGAAGGCCCGGGTTCGATTCCCCACATGGGTACAATGTGTGAAGCCCATTTCAGGTGTCCCCCGCCGTGATATTGCTGGAATATTGCTAAAAGCGGCGTAAAACTATACTCAGTCAGTCAGTCACAAAGATGCTCCGGCCGTTCTCCATGGTAATATGGACATCGGTGCAACATACCACCCCCAACCCACCGACATACTGGACACTAGTTTTTAAACAATGTATCCTTGTGAACCCTTTCGCGAAATTGTAGAAAAACAATATGTCTCACCCGACATTTGGGGCGATGGGGTACCCTGGTGGTTTAAGGGTTCGTTAGTCAGGCCGAATACCCGGGTTCGATTCCTGACATGGGTACAATGTCTGAAGCCCATTTCTGGCATCCCCCGCCTTGATATTCCTGGGATACTGTTAAAAAACGGCGTAAAACTAAACTCACTCATCTATCATTTATTACAACCACGACTTCCTCTTGACCTATTCTCTTTTTGTGGGATTAACATAGATCAGCGTCTCAACCAACAATACTACCTTTCCCGGTTGTGCAAGTGCCTGGAGCAAACCCACTAATAGTTTCAGCAAATCGATTGAATTAAATACTTCTCTGAGGTAAACGAATAATTGACAGAGCCCAGGGGCGAGTTAACGCTTGTCATTTCAATTAGTTGTAATGAAGATTGTTCATGTGATTCCGAATCAACGGAAATAATATTCCAGCCCCGATTGTGAATACACGTATTAAGTTACATAAGCTTTTGTGATCATTCATACTTTTCATCGTTACTTTTTCACTGGCTTTGAACGAACACATCAATTTGAAAACATCATAAATGTATGATCAATGAATCCTATTATCACGGTGTTAATGACTCACATGAAGGTATAGTATTGTGTTTAATACGTGTAAACGTTGTTTGTATGAAAAGACCTCGTTTCTACAGAACATATTTCCGTTTCGTTACACATGGTCGACGTCAGGAAGTGCAACTGGAGTGAGATGTCCACATCGAACAGAAGCGCACAATAATCCTATAAAGCCCATTCACGGACAATACTGTGTTACCATGCTGATTAAAACATCACATTTAATCAACAAAAGTGAAAACTTCACAGCGGGCGGTCGAGGCCACAAGATCATTGAATAATTAAATGAAAAACATGTAAATTATGTTGTTTTATTCACATGCAAAAAGTATGATGAATACAATGCATGATCTTAAAAGTTATTTTGCATAATTGGAAAGAATCTTTGAAGACATTATCAAAAACATCTTATCAATCATTTTGCAATAGCACAACCACGTGCACCATGCTATATTGCGGTGTTTATAAAACTTTTCGAATGTATACATTTGCAGTTCTCATTCCAATGTCCGTGACCTCTCATTTGATAAATGTCTTTCGTGAATGATAGCTCGAGTAAACACAACTTTACGACCTGACAATCGATGGGCAATCTGTTAGGGGGAATTTTATGGACCCTCAATATAAGGAACACAATGGTTCGGAGTATATGCATGCTCCTTCATCGGGTGGATGAATTCGTGGATGCATGTTGACATGTAAGAACAACAAAGGTAATACGAGTATAACAAGGGAGGAAACTAATCAAGCGAATATCACAGTTAAATAGCTCCAATTGGTAACAAACAATGGATTAATGGTAGGCAGGGAAATATTAGCACTGATTGGTAATATTAAATAGAAGTTATGCTTTCAAACAGAACTAATTGATTGCTGTTACCAATCACTGCTAGTTACACCTGCCTTGCTTTTGTCCACTGATGATTGATTACCAACCATGCTTATTTATCTTCAAGCTTGTCAACTGCTTGACAACGATACAAGAATCCGTATCGAAACGTCGCATCATCCGAATAAAGAAGTTGTTCATCAATAGAGTTTGTCCTTATCTGGTGTTATAGTAAGTTGAGTTAAAACCAATACGCTTATAACGATTCTTGGATATAAGGAAGTACGGTTATAATGAATAATTATGCATTTGAGTTCGTTATTACAGTAGTCCGCTAAATAAACTCTCCCAAAAAAGAAACGCATCATGAAAATAGCAATTGCATGTAGCAATGAATTAAAACGTGATTCATTTTACAAAAGGTTTTGCTCTGTTTATGAGTCCTATGGTGTTTATGTTTTGAAACATCACAACAAAACGCACCATCCGTAAAATACCCGTATTTAACAGCATGATTTTCAATTTCGGCGTGTAGTGTCACAGAATACACAATTCACATGCAATGCACGTGAAAGTTGGGGATCAGATAGTCTCAATGATGGGTATAAAAGGTTGATCGCTGTCTGTCGATTATTCACTGTATTTGGAATATTGTTGACGAACGCTAAATGCCACGTCTAAGTGAAGCCAACCGTCATATCGCCATTGGTTTGCTTGAAGTTGGCCAGTCTCAACGTGCAGTTGCCCGACGCATGAATGTTCACCAAAGCACCATTTCACGGCTCTGGGAGAGATATCGCCGACAGAAAGCGGTAGCAGATGCCCCTCGTAGTGGGCGACATCGAGCGACCACTGCGGCGCAGGATCGCTGCATCCGGGTACATCACCTGCGTCATCGAACAGCTACGGCGACCAGTACCTCTCGACAAATACCCGGATTGAGGAGGCTTTCTGCACAGACCGTCAGGAACAGGTTGAGAGAGGCTAGTGTACGTGCCAGAAGAGCTTATTTTGGCCCTGTGCTTCGACAGCAACATCGTCGACATCGAGTTCAATGTTGCACCAACGTTCAGGCCTGGAACCTACCGAATTGGCGTGGAATCTGGTTCAGTGATGAATCACGATTTCTATTGGAACGACGCGATGGAAGAATGCGGGTGTACAGACGTCGACGTGAACGTTTCCAGGTGGACAGATTCGGCCGGGGCAGTGTTATGATGTGGGGGCAGATCACCTGCCGTAGGAGAAGTGATTTGGTGATGATCCAGGGTAACCTGACAGCTCAACGGTACTGTGACGAAATCCTAAGCCCACACCTCCTTCCAATCATTGATCGCCAAAGGGAGTTGTTTCAACAGGACAATGCCAGGCCCCACACAGGACGTCACACTAGAGACCTCCTCCAGAACCACAACATCAATGTGCTCCCCTGGCCCTCAAGATCACCGGACTTAAACCCGATCGAACATCTGTGGGATGCCCTGGACAGACAGGTGCGACGCCGTAACCCTCAGCCCGAGACATTTCAGCAACTCGCACAAGCACTACAGGCAGAGTGGGCTGCGATTGGGCAACACGGGATTCTGAGACTTATTCGTTCGATGCCGAGGCGATGCCGTGCAGTTCTGGATGCCCACGGTGGTCACACGAGGTATTGACTTCAGCGCCACCACACGTCTCCATGTGACACTAAAACTGACTTTCCTCGAGTTGGTGCCAAAGATGGATAAGTCTGCATTCCCAGTGTGCAATTTCGCTATATTTCATTGACTCATAAGCCTACAAGATGTTTCAAAATAAACATAAAAATACAGTTGAAATTCCTATATGCGTTTCTTTTTTGGGAGAGTATATATCCTCCCTGGTTACGATATAACCGTTAGCGTCCCACCGTACGTTTTTACTTTATTTATGCTTGTATTTTCGTATTCCTCCTATGTGCAAGGTATATCTGCTTCCTAGCATTCATTCGTCTGTTGAGGGGCGATGGGGTAGCCAAATGGTTAAAGCGCCCGCTCGTCACGCCGAAAACCCGGATTCGATTCCCTACATGGGTACAATTTGTTAAGCCCATTTTTGGTGATGAACTTACAAGTACATATTCCGAAATGCTGTATTTCTTAAAGAAGGTGACAGCAGATTCCGTGTGTATTAATTCTAAATGCCGATGAACAAAGTCGTTTATTCTTAAGTGTTGCATGTTGTTCCGTAAGGTGATATTTCTGGTCAAGTCAAATATGAATGGGGTATTGATATCAATACACAAGTTAAGTCAATTTTATGGTGATATGATGCTGAAGTACTATCATAAACTGGACACAAGGTTGGATAGTATGTCCTCCATGTCCAAGAGGATGCTTTGAAACATTCGTGACAAACTCTTTTCATACAGGACCGTTTAATGCATTTTGATTATGATAATGGTACCAGCCACATTTCACTGACTTACCCTTGATATGTTTTTTAGAAGAATCGTTCCAAACCCGGTCATTTGATGGTGACATAACTTCAACACAGAGAAAGATAAATGAGGAAACATATATTCCATGTATATTTTGCTTAGTTGCTGATCTTTTTCATTGAACATGTGCGTTAGAGAACCTGACTGCACAAAGCCTTCTCTGTGACATGAGTTTTACTTTTGATATTTTTCACTTCACAGTCGTCAAGGTCGCGTCAATTCTCTATGGACAGTTGGACACTCTAGATATTTTATTCGAATCCCAGATCGCTAGGTTTGTCAGCGATATATCTGTGATCGTGGGTTTCAACAAAGTGCCAAACTTCTGAGAATGGTATCACTTCGGGGTTTTTTCCGACTTGAAGCTGACGCGCCGTGAGGCGATAAGCTTCATGGGTGAGTGACTGAGTGAGTGAGTTGGGATTTACGCCGCTTTTAGCAATATCACGGCGGGGGGACACCAGAAAGGGGCTTCACATATTTTGCCCATGCGGGGAATCGAACCCAGGCCGTCGGTGTGACTAGCGAACGTTTTAACGACCGGGCTACCCCACCGTCCCCCAGCTTCATGGACCTGAACATACTAAAATGAATAGAATACTTGTAATAAACATATGACATATGGAGTTATTACGGTCCTTTTTATATATCCGACTACAACGATGTGCTATTTCAGATGATAAACACTAATCAGAAATACCGACATGTGTTAGGTCAGCTGTTGGCTAACATGGCACATGCAAACAACATGTTCCGTCATAACATCGCATTACAAATAGTTGAGTGGGTAGGTCATCTCAGTGCTGATCAATAGTTAAAGGGTTGGGTCTGTTGTTGGAAATAATGTCTCAATTACATCCACTTAATTGTGGTAATATGCGGGTAATTGAGCGATTGACGTTTATGGAAACCATAAACATAAAGATGTTCCGTTTAAGAGAATAGCTGCTTTTATAGTCATAACGACGTCGTGTCCATGGGCCTATTGTCAACAAAATAACCACGAGAATAGCAGGTATATAAATGCATAAGGCATATTTTGTCCTCTTCCACATGAAACGTGGTAAGCGTCAATTTACAGTCAATCCATTAACAATCCCAACTTGTTCATGCTGATTCCACAAACCACATATGTTGTATCGAATAATCAGTAGACTGGCACATGCTCACGTCAATATGTTCTTGAATTAGCAACATCAATAAAAAGATCACATGTGTTGTGACCATGTCTTTGTAGCAGCTTGACGGACGAGCAAGTGTGGCAGAAGGGTGACGAGTATCCAGTAATTAATGTAATTATACTATTTACGCAGTACCTGGACAAAAGTGGTACAGCTTGTTTGGCAACATCTTTGGTGTTGCACATCATGAATTAACTTGAACACATAAAACCTATACATGACCTCTACATTCATACATTATTTCGGTTGTACAGGCTTGGCGAATTGCTTTCGAAACTATTGGGGTATTGCGCTTAAACGTGTAAGCAGGTGCATATTGCTTAAACCCACAATCAGCTCATTTGTAGTTATCTCATGAAATTAGGTTGACTGTGGGTGTATAAAACTGGAATTCCCTCATGTGTACTTGTTTCAAAAATCACTATGTTTTGACCACAACACATCGATGTCTTCATCCAGATCCATTGCTATCATTCTGTTGCTGTGCTGTGCTCCTGGTAACAATAACTCATTTTGCTTTAGGTTATTCGATTAATCGTCATAGTAACACAACACAACTCAACCTAGGTAATTAAATATTCAAATATATTATATTCAAATTAAATATGTTCACCACGAATATTTTTGTTTGTGTTGTTGTTTTGACAAGATGGCAAAAGCAATCTCATAAAACATATCGGAACACATAAGCAGGATCTTAAACGCGACGGGGCCATACTTTGAAGGAAACTCTTGGGATTAAGAATACTTTTGAGGTTATGGTTTACTAAATTATGTGCTCACTCTTCACCTCAAAAGAGTCTCCCTAAACAATTTCAAGATCCGTAACTTTGTTTGTTTGGTGTATTATCAAAGTGAGATTTGAGAAAAATGCACAACTGTAATGCTTCATGTTGGCGTGCTCTAGAATGAACTAAATAAAGAAAAAACATGAATGACAAAATGATTGAACCAACATCAGTTACATACCTGCTCCATTTGTTGTGTTTTATAAATGACACACGTACTCTTCTGTCTACGTTTTAAAGTTGAAGAGGCCTAATGGATGAGAAATGTAAAAGGTTATCAAGAAGAAATATATTACCGTCTAGGCAGCAAACGTTACGATCAATCCGAAAGCTGTTATCTCCCTTGCCAGTACCTTGTAGTGGCATGTTTAATTTAGAGGCATGAATTGTTTTTATTTCAGTGTCGATAATCATTACCTTTTAATGTCAAATATGATGATGGTATTGAAGGCCTGATACGTGGTAACGCAAACAAAAAGTTCTGCTTTGACTGCTAATTCATTCTGCGCTGGCATCACCTATTTGCCATGTAATCAGGTAAGCACCTAACTGCATTATCACATAACTGACAATCCTGAATTTGTGTTTTATTCATTCAGAAATATTGAACATGTCCTGACTCACCGGTTTTCGATCAGTCGTCATATCTTAATAATATAACTTAACACGGGCTATTAAATAGTTCACATGTTTGCAGTTTCCTCTTACAACTTCATTTTGCCAAACAAGACATGCCATATTTGCTATTCCTGGAACTCTATCATGTTATCTTTTATTCCTTTTTTATTCATTTCCTTTCAAATGTGTTATCGTTTAGGTTGGTTTGTTAGTTCAGTTGACAGTCATTGGAACAGCAATATAATATACCATTTCGTAATGCATAAAACGTGATCCAAAATGTCAGCTTTGTAATTAAAGCTTTCATATTATTTGAAGTCCTATCTAGATGAAGTCTTCAATCCAAATCAGAAATCTATGAAACCAATACCACCGACAGATGTCCGGTTTCAAATACCAAAAGTTTCGCAATTTGGTTCCGGTTTGGACTGTTGTATGATACTGGGATTGTCCCGATGTTTGATGTCAGTTCTGTAATTATTTGTCGTTTTAAAGTAGCACGTTCGTTGCCAAATAGTCGTTAAAATAACATGAAAGATGATATGGACCATTCAATTTACAGCTGCCATTTGACAGCACGTTCCCGGAATTCTATTCTCACTTGTACCACAGCATGAGATAAACCTGATTGTGTAGAGCATGTGGCTTCTACTGAATAACGTCAGTACCACGTAATTACCAGTCTCGATTATCGGAAGCGAAAGAGCTGTGAAAACTACACTAACGAACCACTAATAGTCAGTGATTTTAGGTGATTTCAGGTTTGAAAATTACACTGATGAATCACTTAAAAGCAGTGATTTTTGGTGTTTTCAGGTGTTTGCGAAAGGGACAAGCATTTCTGTCCCAACGTAAACACCATCCACTCACACTAATTGCATAACTAAGTATGTGTTTGTTACCTGAAACTGCTCATCAGTACCATTATTAAATCAAAACGTTTTGAGAATATTATTGGTTATCTGTCATTCGTGTGACATTTTCAATGGCATACAGTGTGATAATTTCAGTCAATTTACAGAGAACTAACTAAATATCCGGCAGCAAATGTCATTACAAGTGGGTTTATTATCTTGAAGAATGCAACGTCAGCATGCTCCTTTGGCCACAAAGGGATTATTTCTATGACGTCACAAAAAATGTTTTTCTAAACTAATCCGCACATGCATAGTCACTGGTTTATTAATTTGCGAAGCTGCATATATTTGTAGTTAAATATCTTTAATATTCTACATCCAAACGGTTCGCACCAATTGTAAACATCATGCTGATTATCATTATCATTTGTGAGGACTTTGTCAAACACATAATGCATGCTCTGTTTGTAGTCACTTTCGTTTGAGTGAGTGAGTGAAATTAGTTTTACGCCGCACTCAGCAATTTTCCAGCTATATGGCGGCGGTCTGTAAATAATCGAGTGTGGACCAGACAATCCGGTGATCAACAGCATGAGCATCGATGTGCGCAATTGGAAACCGATGACATGTGTCAACCAAGCCAGCGGGCCTGACCACCCGATCCCGTTAGTCGCCTCTTACGACAAGCATGGGTTACAGAAGGTTCATTTTAGCTCGGACCTTCACGGGTCCACTTTAGTTTGAAATGTGATAAACATGAATACATTTTCATCTCAAAGGTCAACTACGGGTTTATTACAAGCCTATTTAACAGTTTTGTAGTATTCCATCAAATGTTTTCACTGATATCAAACTGGTTTAAAAAAAGTGATGCTTGGAAACGTGCGATGAGTCATCTGTTGATAAAACTACATCTATTTGTTTTCAGAGTGAGCTGGAACAAAATTTATATTTTTGTGTAAGTGAAAACTGTTTTTCTTGTTGATTTGGTGATGTGTGTTGCTGATGTCAGTGAATATGACTGGCAAAAATGTCACTCGTCAAGGAGTAAATAGCAGTAAAAGCTCACAGGAAAGATTCATATTTGCTGTCATTCAGATTTGACCTTTTAGTTTAAACATTTTCTTTTACCGTTCCAGAGCATACCTTTGCATTTTATTCCGAGAACACTTGACGTACAATTTTTCTTTTTAGTTATAGTTTCATATGCCTCTGATGAGGGAATTCAGCTGTGTGTGGATAGTGGTCAAGTGCGCTCAGCAATATTCCAGCAAAAGTGACGAATGTCTGAAAGTCACCGAGTCATATTGATATCGTGAGCTGCAATGAATGCCAAAGGTAAGGCTGAGACGAAATCAACCAAGTCATTGTGTCTGAACACACTATTCCTTTGGTTGCAAAGCACAAGTCGTTGAGATCTAATTCTAACCCTAAGTGAGTGAGTGAGTGAGTGAGTTTGTTTATTGCAGTACGATTGCAGCGGCCGACGCCAGAAATGGGCTTCACACATTGTACCCATGTGGGGAATCGAACACGGGTCTTCGGCGTTACGAGCGAACTCTTTAACCATGAGGCCCACCGCCCCCAATATTCAAGAGTTAGGTAATTCGGGAATAAAAAAATTTCGAGTAAACACATGTGAGAAACACCAACACGGTAACTGTTTATTTGTTGTTTATCGCAACACTCAGCAATATTACAGGTATACGATAGTAGACTGTAAATAATCAAGACTTGACCTAATAATCCACTGATTGACATCATGAGCATCGATCTATACCATGGAATATGATTACATGAAACAACATATGCATCTGTAAAGCAGAAATGAATGTATGATTCAACTGCAAAACGCATTAAGTCACACTGGCAATTTCTTTCTCTTTCTATTGTTTCCTCACTCAACGTCTAAACAATTCCTCTAGTACAAACCATTGCTTTTATATTGTACGCCTCCTTCCTGATTGTTTGTAGTTTAAACTATGAGCATCGGCAATTATTTTCTTTCATCGGCTTTAACTGCACCGCTGAATTGTGCCAGTGTATCAAGCAGTGGCGAAAGAAGATAGCATCGCATAACATGATAAATGTGTTTGCCTTGCTTCACCTTCAGCTATCGTGTTAATGCTGCTCGTAATACATTAGTGACCCATGGGATCCATTCTGAGTGAATATTATATGAAGATGTCCGGGACTAAAAGGAAAGTGAAATATTGAGTCCAACTGTGTTTAGTCTGGGAACAGTAACATACGCTGGACACAGACCGACCTGTTCTCTTGGGGTCTAAATATCAGCAGCTGTCAGCCCTCGAAACACTGACGGACACATTTTCAGAGAGACATTCAGACATATTTCTTGGAATAGACATTCATACTCACATTACAATAAGCACAGATTAAATATTTTAAAATTTACTTTTAATGCGATTTAACGCTATTTCTGAATTTTCAGCCTCATCTGTGAGTCTCATTTTTATCACACCAACTTACCATTTTGGGTGTGGGTAGTCCAAGATAAATCTAGGACTTAAAGGCGCGTACATTATACCGAAAGCTCTGTATTAAGAGAATTAAAGTCGACGAAGCTAATTGTGGGTATGACACTGTCAGAATATTGCCACAGCCGATCTTAACCCCCCCCCTCAGTTTATCCAGTGATTCAGTTTGCTGTAGCAATTGTACAATTATACTGGGGAACTTGGAAACCAAGTACGGAACTACCGTACATCCTTTAGGGATCCGTTCGGACATGATGTTCAGTAATCATGTATACGATTTCCTGAACTATCCTGCTTACATTTAAGCCTGCAAGTGTGATTTTTTCATGTTTATAATACACAGTCATTAAAGGTGATAGATCACCAGATAGGACCATAGCCTAGTCTTGCGGATTAATCTCAGACACGTGTTGTAACCGTGATCTGTTACTCCAGTGTTTAATCTAAAATGAAAATGAAATAGGATATTGAGATTATTGAGATAAATTGACAATGTTTTGTAGTCCCTTATGAACTGTTCTAGAGTAGTTGTGATTCCTTGACTTTCATGGAGTGTCAACGTTAAAACGTCAGATTGATATTACACTATCAGATTTTGCAAAGCATGCATATTTTGATTTGTTCAGGATAATCGTTTTCCTTCATGAATATTTGAAACTGATGATAGGAATAAATGTGACAGTGGTTATGCTACGCTTGATAAACACATCTGACTAATTCTAAACTTCATGATAATTTGGTTGTTGTTTCTTAAAAAACCTTTCTCAACAGAAATACCCCAGAATTAATTATTTGATGTTTGATGTTTGAGGAACGTCCATTTTCAATTGAAATATTCATTCATTTCCCATTTGGGGTTTCGTCAGCTTCCATTCAAATATGAAACTCATCCTGATACACATTTGGTTAAAACACACAATGAATGATTCGATTATGAATACCCATTATTGGTGTGTAAGTGTTTTTGACTTTATCACAAATAAAGAGCTATGATTACAAATACAAAAAAATAGTTCAAATGTCACAGCTCGCAAGGCAATAACTACGTGTGACCTCAAGTGTGGAGGAACGTGACGTGATATGGTGCGTCTGTAAGCATCTTTAGGTGACAAATGACATCTTCTTTTGAAGTCAAAGTGTAATGGATGTGGAACTGTCTATAGCAATTATGGGATTGTGCACAATACAGCCAAACATTTGAGCTCATTTTTCATTCAATATCGACCCACGGCCTTCCTGACAACCTGATTCATGTCAAAGAAAGATAAAGCAGTCATAATTGATTAAAACATTACCTCTGAAATATTACACTTGCGAGACTCCATTCAGGGACACGGCAGGGAGTGGAAGGAAAGATTTAGAACTCGTTGTGTTAATAAATCAAAGAGAAAAATATTTTGTGATAATGTCAAAACATGCTTCGATCTGACTATGCATTTTAATGATTCGCATTCAAGACAAAACAGATTCATTGGCTAATGTTTTGTCACGATCTAAACGGATTTGAGGATATTTTATACAGTAATGGAGTATTAATTTTCGAGCATATTTTTTAATCGCGTGGAATGCAAATGCCAGCGTGCGACCTCTCTGGAGAAGGATCATTGTCATGTCATCGGAATTGTGTAACATTTTGAATTATTCATTGAATCTTTCAAAACATCTTTAAACTTCGAAGCAGAAGTATTCGCACGAAACCGTTTCAATGAATCGCATGATATATAGTTCCATCGGTGCAGCACAACATTTCTCTGCTCACAAAAGAGTATGCCACGAATCAAAGAAAGGATAAAAAACAGCCAAGGAGGAATTTACTGTACACGAAGAACAAGCTTGTGTCATTTCACACACCAGAAAATGCAGTTATTGTATTGCATTCGAGACATACATTACTGCTGGATCCTGTGTTTCAACACGCATCCATTACTTCCGGAACTGGCTATAACGTTATGTCTATACTGAACAGTTCTTTCTTGTGGCATTATATACGACTAGTAATTACAATCTTTTCTCTGCTCCTTGGAAGCTCGGAAGGTGCCATACTATAAATTAGCGTAATATGTTCGAGATAAAGCAGAAACGGGATACTTGAAATGAATAAGATATTCTATCATAGTTCGTAAATCCTTGGATTCAGCATTTGTATATATATTTGAAAACAAATATGCAACAACATGTATATGTATACAGAACAAATGATCTCTCAGGGATAGTAATGGCAATTGCACCGTACATCATTTTTAACTTGTTTATTTTCCAATTTCGAGCAGACATTATGTTTGCATGAATAAATAAACAGATCCACAATGAGGGGAGCACAATTTGTGTTCATGGGGAGGTCTGTTCTTTGTGTAAATGTTCTGGCACTAACATTTACATAGTTGTGATCACCCATAGAGATATGTAACTATATCTTTGAAGATAGATTTGTAAATATATCATTGGTCACCCCGTTTGTTAACGAGTTCCCCATAGATCAATGAAAGTTTGTCGTGTGGGATAGTGGTTCACAATGTTGAAAATTCAAACGTTTAGCCAGAACTGAACTGTCTTTGAGTCTTTGATTGAACAACTGTTTTAAGATCTTGGCTAAAAGATCATGCTCGATTGTCCCTCAAACATTGTGAGATATGAACACCAAGGGCTGATGGATTATGTCTTGACGTGAAGACAAAATTGACTATTGGAAAGTTGAAATCTTTTTTTTTTGTCACTCTGAATCATTGTGAATGCACCAAAACATAAAACACGTGTTTTCAAGTTAAGACAGGTAAATCAATGTAAAAGAATTTGTCATATCACGGTTACTGAAATACGTTTGTTAACAAGTTTCCCATTGATCAAAGCATAGAGTTTGTCCTGAAATTGGTCATGTTGGACAGTGGTTTACAACGTTGAAACGTTTTGGCAAAAGTGAGCTCGGTCGGGTTCTGAGATTGTCAAAATTCAAACAAACCCTTGAGAATCAACACAGTATGAAATCTGCTTGTTTCAAATACTTTTTGTGAATGTAGGGAAAGTCTTTCCTTGTTAGTATTTAGGATTATGGTTAATCTTAAAAACAGTGTTCGTTTGCAGGACCCAGCTATATCCCTCTTTGTACGGATTTTTATGGAGTTTTGGAATCCAGCGCAAAAGAGGAATGTCTATGTCTTCGGGGTTTAGAGTCATGCCAAAAATTGATAGAACCGATGAGAGGTTTTGGCAGAATTCTTCCTCAGTTAACATACTGGCCGTATATGTGGCATTATTTAATATTGCACATATTCCATTATATTGATCACACAATTAATGCAATGACGTTCACATATAATGATTTTGTTAATCGAGGCCTTATCATTGGAAACAATAATTTATTTTGCAAACTCTTCATGCAGGGCAGCCAAACTTTGGATGACAATCGGCTGGGACAGAATAGGTTTATTCCAATTTCATTTTGTTAATGAGAACAATGACCACATCACGGAAGACATTTGACAGGTTCCTCTTCTAAACGACCATCTTTGTGGTTTCCAAGCCATTGTCTTTACATGCAATCCACTGTTAATCCATTATTTTGTATCAATGGTTAGCCTTTCACACCCAAAATGATGTTTCAACAGATAATCGAGAGACTGTTATCTAGTGTTAAACATTTAATATTTCACTGGAGTAATCTGTATGAAGAACACACTATGAAACTAAATTTGCACTGTTCGACTTCTGTAATTTGACTTGTGAGACCTGCATTGGATCTGATTACTGAGACACACGTGTGACCTTCACACACAGTCTTCCATGTGTTATAACTACTAGTAGGTATT